GAGGTATACCTATGATGAAAATTACAGGCCTCTCTCATCTTTTTAAGTGGGAGAACTTGCACAATTGGTGGCTGACTAAATACTTTTTTGCCCCACTGTATATGTGACAACATCTTGTTAACTTAGTCCATGTTGTAGGCTCTTCCTTCCAGAGGGTTGGGAGAAAGAGCACAAAATATGTGCATGGTAAATATACATAGGATTGCAACCCAAGTGTCTAAAATTGTGAGGAGTAGAAGGTGCCGATTATTTTGTTGTAACAAATTGTCTTTCTTACAACTTAATTTCACCAGGCTTTTTGATAATTCCTTAAGTAAATGGCATGGTCAATTCACTGCCTGTTTTGTTGCTTTGCAGTTACTTGCATGCCAAGTCTATCATCCACAGAGACCTCAAGAGTAATAGTATCCTTTAAAAACACTAACCTTTATCATTCACTTCTCTTTCTTCAAAGTGAGTAAAATAAGAGGAAAAAAAGGAGTTGGGATCAATTGAGGATGCATGTGTAAATATTGGAACAGTCACTTGCCTCAATTCAACCTTAATTATTAAAGAAAGCAAATACATATTCTATGCCTAACTAATTATTGTACATCAGAGTATGTTTGAAGATGATCACCCAGATTCATATGTCACTGAAAACAATGTAAATAGCATATCCTTTCTAACTCAGGTTTTGGTTCATTCTTATGATTCCAAATCCAACAATCAACATGTTGATTGATCTCCTTTGATGAACTTCAGAGCAAAGTATCATAGGACTTGAATGCAGAAGGCAAAGTACATCAGTGTGCTTCATTGTATGCCAGTATGTTTCATTATATGAAATCAGCTCTCTCTCTTACAATGTGTGATATATGTGAAACTTCCAGAAGCTTTGGAGTTTCACTGTCTCTACAGACATCCATTTTGTAACCGCATTGCTTTAATTTATCATTAGTTAATGTTAGAAATGCTGTCTAAAAGTCCTCTTAGCTGCATATTGGTTTATAATGTGGTCTAATACATGCTTTTAAAGCTAAAAAGGTAATATATCCTGTGAGTTGAGCTTGACGCTTGGTGACTTCATGGACATATCCATTTAGTTTCGTGGGTAACAATATTGAAATTGTTTGCTGTTGTCTTCTTCCAGGATGTTTGAATTCCTGGTGGCCTCTCATCCAACTGCCAGCCAGGTCAGATCCTGCTTAGTTTTTTTTTTCCTTTACATTTCCTGTCAGATATATTTCTTCATGAAGACCTCACAGTAAAAATAGGTGATTTTGGTCTAGCAACAGTGAAGTCACGGTGGAGTGGATCCCATCAGTTTGAACAGTTGTCTGGATCAATTCTGTGGATGGTAGGTGAAGGGAGTATTTTCCAAATTGTTCGCCCAGATTGCACAATCCTTTTTGTACAGGAAGGCACATTTCCAGTGTCTTTAGGATGGAGATAAATGCTTGCCTTTGCTGGACCCAAGCCTTTCTAATGTGTAACAGAATACCACCATGCATGGAAACCTTTTGCTTTCTATCCAGGACTTTCTCCTCTCACTAGAGGTCTCAGTGCAATTACTGTCCAAAGATGTCTTGTAATGTTTCTTCCCACATGAGCCTTCATAATTAGGTCATATGCTAAATATCAATGAAATACTGTTAACTACTATAATCACTGAAAGGAGGCCATGACTGTATTTCATAAAGTTTGGCCAACTCAGTATCTGGTAGGAGTTACTTAATTTCTGTTAATGAGGATTCAAGGAGGCTAAATATTTGGCTGTTACAAACTGGAATCTTTTATTTAACCTTTTAGATAGTAGCTTCATGTTTGGAGACTTCAGGTATATAGATACAGTCTGCAATTGCAATAGAATAAAGCGGTTGTTTTCTATATCACAGGCACCTGAAGTTATTAGGATGCAAGATAAAAATCCATATAGTTTTCAGTCAGATGTATATGCATTTGGAATTGTCCTTTATGAGCTGATGACTGGGCAGTTACCATATTCCAACATCAACAACAGAGACCAGGTAAGGCAAGCTGGGATTGGGAAAGTTGTTATTTCTAAGTTACTTAGTTTGTGCTTTCATGTAGTACTGTGGTATGGACAGATTATTTCAGCCTTTGCAATACTGCCTTGTACACATTTCATTGCTTTCAGTTTTGGATAGACTTTTTTTTAAAAAAAGTAAAGCATAATCAGTTGGTATGTCAGGTGACTTAAATGTCTATTCTCAGAGAATAGTATGTCTTTTGTTACAGAATAATGTGATAAATTTTAATCAGTTGACAATCCTTCCATTCTTCAAAACTTTCCATGCAGTTTTTCTTTCTTCACTTGAGAATCAATGCTATAGTTTAATCATGTAACTTATTATGTGGGTTATTCATGCATTCACAGATTTCAGGGCTATGTGGAGAGAATGAGATAGCTCTCAAATATGTTGGGGGAAGGATTAGAGATGGATGCAGATAAGATAACATTGTCATTCTGTTAGCCAAAAAAAAAAAAAAAAATTCAAGGATATCTTTCCCCAAGTGGTACCCTCTAGATATGTTAGCCAAAACTCCCAGTACAGTATTTTTATCTAGAATCTGGTACCAAGTTCCGGAAGGCTAATTTGGAAAAGGAAATCAAGAGGGGAATAGTCTATCACTTTATTTGTAATGTACCTTTGCATTAAGCTTAAGATCTTGGTTCTTGGGATACTTGAGTTATCTTGAGGTCTAGGGATTCAGAATTATAGATCTCTTTTCTTTTAACATGCAGTGGGGCAAAAAAGTATTTAGTCAGCCACCAATTGTGCAAGTTCTCCCACTTAAAAAGATGAGAGAGGCCTGTAATTTTCATCATAGGTATACCTCAACTATGAGAGACAAAATCAGGTGCCATTACTACAGGTAACGAGTGGAGGACAGAGGAGCCTCTTAAAGAAGTAGTTACAGGTCTGTGAGAGCCAGACATCTTGCTTGTTTGTAGGTGACCAAATACTTATTTTCCACCATGATTTGCAAATAAATTCTTTAAAAATCAGACAATGTGATTTTCTGGATTTTTTCCCCCATTTTGTCTCTCATAGTTGAGGTATACCTATGATGAAAATTACAGGCCTCTCTCATCTTTTTAAGCAGGTGCCATTACTACAGGTAACGAGTGGAGGACAGAGGAGCCTCTTAAAGAAGTAGTTACAGGTCTGTGAGAGCCAGACATCTTGCTTGTTTGTAGGTGACCAAATACTTATTTTCCACCATGATTTGCAAATAAATTCTTTAAAAATCAGACAATGTGATTTTCTGGATTTTTTCCCCCATTTTGTCTCTCATAGTTGAGGTATACCTATGATGAAAATTACAGGCCTCTCTCATCTTTTTAAGCAGGTGCCATTACTACAGGTAACGAGTGGAGGACAGAGGAGCCTCTTAAAGAAGTAGTTACAGGTCTGTGAGAGCCAGACATCTTGCTTGTTTGTAGGTGACCAAATACTTATTTTCCACCATGATTTGCAAATAAATTCTTTAAAAATCAGACAATGTGATTTTCTGGATTTTTTCCCCCATTTTGTCTCTCATAGTTGAGGTATACCTATGATGAAAATTACAGGCCTCTCTCATCTTTTTAAGCAGGTGCCATTACTACAGGTAACGAGTGGAGGACAGAGGAGCCTCTTAAAGAAGTAGTTACAGGTCTGTGAGAGCCAGACATCTTGCTTGTTTGTAGGTGACCAAATACTTATTTTCCACCATGATTTGCAAATAAATTCTTTAAAAATCAGACAATGTGATTTTCTGGATTTTTTCCCCCATTTTGTCTCTCATAGTTGAGGTATACCTATGATGAAAATTACAGGCCTCTCTCATCTTTTTAAGTGGGAGAACTTGCACAATTGGTGGCTGACTAAATACTTTTTTGCCCCACTGTATGATAAGTGAACAAAGTGATTTCCAAATTTAGTGAACAGAGCAATTAGTTCATTGTGCCAGGGGAGAGAAAGGTGGCCTATTTGTTACAAGAGCAGCCTTCACCCTATACCAATGACAAATGATTTTTGAAATTGAGAAGATTTCCAAAATAATTAGTAATGTTGGGCGTGCTACCTGCTTTTAAACGAGATCCTGAAATTCAAGTGACTATGCTCAACAACTTAGGTTTTGCTTTAAATAACTGTGAATCCCAGTATTGATGAAAAATAGTACAGTATATTTATTTTGTTTAACAATATCAGGTAGACACATAATTTGAAAGTGCAGAAACAATAATTTTGACAGTTGTGTTTGGTAATGTTTTCTGCTCAATACTGTACTGAGCAGCAGTGGGTATTGATGGCCTAAATGGTCCTTCCTGGTTCAATTATTGTACTTGCTGGAGACAAAGCATAGATCAATTTGGTATTCATCTTTGCTTCTGTTGAATTATTGAGACCTTGGAGTAATGTCTTTCAATGCAAATGCCAGTTTGGAAATTATATGCAATGGATGCAAAACTAAAATTGACAGACACATTACATTTCATGTTAGCGTTTTACCTACCAACGTGGAAAAGAACTAAATTTGAAATATGGCTAAAAGTTTAAGTTTGTGCAGCACTTGGATTCAGTGTCTGAAAAGTGCTTTGGAATATATAGAAGCACAAACTTCCCAGGAAAAGATGCAGTTGCTTTAAGATGTTGTGATCAGGTGCCAAACTCACACTCCCATGCATTCTGAAGCACTTTTTTAGGCGATTAAATCCAAAGCACTGCACAACCATATTAAAAATCATAATAGATTAGTTTTCCCTTTTACACTCTCTCTTTCTTTACTTCTGTAAAGATTATATTTATGGTGGGACGAGGGTATCTTTCTCCGGATCTCAGCAAAGTACGAAGCAATTGTCCCAAAGCCATGAAGAGACTAATGGCAGAATGCTTGAAAAAAAAGAGAGATGAACGGCCTCTCTTCCCCCAGGTAAGAAATTCTCATAATTGGCTTAGCATTTAGCAATGGCACCACAAGAACACTGCAAGAACAAGTTGGCAATGCAGCCAGGTGTCACCTAGTTAGGTTAGCCTATTAGAAGACGAAACAGGCACAAAATATCTGGACTTCCTTCTCAAATGATATGTCAATACTATATCCCTTTAGTCCATGATTATATTAATAGGAGAACCCTCACACATACATCCCAGAATATCCACACCATTCAGGCTCATATTTAGCCCTGCAGCCCACAACAACTCCAGCCAAGAATAGCCTCTTCAGTCTTAGGTCCATGAACAAAGTATTAAAAATATATAGATAGGGCTCTAGTTTAAATTATTCTGTTGCTACTGGGATTCTGGCAGCTTTAGTCCAATGGTAGTGAAGAATGAGATTGCATGATAATGGAACCAAGGTCTGACTTTTACTCTTGATTAATCCCTCCTTGATAGTTAAAGTCCTGTACTATTTAGAAGAAGCTGCTTTGATTAAACAAATCTGTCTCCACCCTGAAGATGTATGTTTCCTATCCAGATGTTTTGACAGTTGATCCCAAAAGGAAGAACCACAAGGTAGAATCCTTTGGATTCTACTGGAGATGCAGCAGAGTTGGGAAGAAAACAATCAGACTGAAATAATTTGACTGCATCCACTTTTTTCACCCAAGATTTCAGCAAAATGTGACATCTTCCAACTCCTGCCTTGCCTTTGTGACATCAGGAGAGGGGACTGAGATAGGATCCTCACCACCATGCAGTCTGTGAAATATCTATGCATGAAATCCTTGTAAAAAACAGCACTTACAATTTTAAGGTTGTTTGGAATGAGCTTTTAAATGGCTTCAGTGCTTCACTTGTGTTTTGCCTTTGTAGCATTCATTATGCTTTAAACAGTAAGCTGTCTCAAAAGCCCTTGATCTTGATGTTTCAGTGAAAAGGGAGAGCTAAAGCAATTAGCCATATTATCTCCATCATCTTTGTAGACAAATGGAGTTAATTCCTAAAATGGCAGCTTCTTCTATAGTGCATTCGGAAAGTATTCAGACCCCCTTCACTTTTTTTCAATTTTGTTATGTTGCAGCC